TAGGTCAGCACTGTAATTACTACACCAGTGGCTCTCAGTTTAATTCTTACTTTTTTCTGACTAAAATACTAAGAAGGGAGAGCTTGGAAGGGAGGCGTCACCACTTTCTGAGTGGCTGCCCAACTGCCTCTTCCATAGGAATGAATGAGGAAAGTTCTTTATGGAATATTTTCCACCACAATCCCCAGCCTGATCTGGCCAATTTTTAACCATAATCTTTCTTTTGCCATTTTTTAAAACAAAATATCGTTGCACTAGTCTACTGGGTTAAAAAGTTGTGGTACACCAATGCTCTTTCCAGTTTGTCTTGGTGTTTTTGAATCTAATGCAGTTGGATTATAATGCTGGTGATGGTGTATTACTTATTCTTCTTAGACTAACAGACACATATATTTTGTTCTTTCTGAAGTCTCTCCAGCTGCTCATATTTTTAGAACTGAAATCATTCATAAGAAGAATTCTTTTAATATGTCTTTATTTGAAAGTAAATGAATGAATGGAAGGCCAGGGATGCTGCAGGGTAAAAAAAAGATGATTATAGAATGAAAGGCGGGATGGTCACATGCATATAATTAGTACATGCAAATATAATGTATCTGACACATACAAATTTTTTTAAAAAATCTCCCTCAAATAGAGACATTGTAGAAAAATGTAATTTTTGTTCTTTATATCACTAACTCAGGTTAATGTGGAAAAAATTGCACAGGTCCTGTTCACACAGATGTGCCTATGCAGATGTAAACAAGCATGCATAGGTAAATTAGATACACCCCCAAATGCATGTAGTATGAAGATAAATTCTGTGGCCTCCTAGCATATTTCAATATGCAGTATATCTGTTTATCCAAAACTGTTCATCCCAAAAGAGATAGCAAAAAAATAATGTGGTATATTTAGATTTGCTGCTGCAAGTAGGTGTTTATCTTGACCTATATGTGGAGAACTAAATAAACTTAACAGAAGGCTAAGTTCTAAAAATGCAGATTAAAATTGACTGAGCTGTGTCCTTTGGCACAGTGCCATTTGATTCAATTTAAAGAATAGAAAATACCTCTTTGCAATAACTAAGCTCAAGCTGATTTCTTGAGGGGAATTGTTTTTCTTATGACATTTCCTACTTTAAACATATTTCACTTCAAGTTTTAACGGGAAGCAACATGCAAAAAATTTTCATCACTCAATAAAATAATATGTATGTAACGGATGAGGGTTGTACACAGCTTCAGACTCTAAGGCAATCCCATACAGCAACTTTATCTTTCCCAGCATCACACAGCTGCCTTGTACAGCTGCAGAAGAACAGGGGAGATGTCCACTTTGAGAAATTCAGACTGGGATTGCCTGTTGTTCTTATACCTGGAAGCATCTTTTGCCTTCAAATCCAAGGTGCTATAGAGTCTCACAGTAGATCACTTCTCCAGCCAGAACAACAGGAAATAGCAATATACATATGAACAACAGCCAATTTTGATAATACTTAGATCTGCTCCTACTTCATTTTATAGTGAAATACCTTGAATGCAAGAGTGTTCTTGGGCTCTTCCTATAATCTGGACATCAGCTACTTTCTTACATGAATGTTTCAGAGAAAAGATACCATCATATAATCTCTGAGCATTTCTACAGCTTTACATTATTTTTTACATTATTTTTATCAAATTTATTTGCTGCCCATCTAGTGATTCAAGGTGACTCTGAGCCACACTTTCTAAGAATTTTTTGGGGGTGTAGACAGGAACAATTCTAAGATCTGCATCGTTTCTTGACGAGACTCCACTTTCAGGCTGTAATAAGAAGCAAAACTACAATATACTGCTGGATTTATTTTCTCTCGCTGTAATATAGAAAAGGAGTACTGTAACCAAACTGTTCTTTTGAGAAGTCTGCAGTGGTTAATGATTCTATCAAAGCACCAACTGCCAAGGACTATTATGTTGCACATTCCTCCATAGAAAATGATGCTTTTTATTTCTAGAGCAAGTCCCATTTGCCTGGAACTGGAGTTAACAGAGAATTACTACTTCATATGTCCAGCACTAAAGGTTTCATAAATTGAGTTAAAAGAGAATATAGTTCTCATTGGAAACAATACTCAAGACATTACTTTTTAAAGTCAAACTTCATGGCTAGATAATAGAAACATATTTAAAAGCTATATATAGTGCTAAAGATGCTTGTCTCAGAAAAATCCTTATTGCTAACCATAATGGGATGTTAGATACAGGAACAGTAGCTTGAGCACATCTGGCATTGGTCAATCCTTATTTTCTGTCCCAGGTTGCATAGACTTTCCTGTGTTATGTGGTTCCCTACACAGCCAAGCATTCATGTACCTCTGTGCTTCTGATCTCTTACCTAATAATGGTGGTCTTCCCTTTGGCTAGGTCGGGGGTCGGCAACCTGTGGCTCCTGAGTCACATGCGGTTCTTTGGGTCCTCTGCTTCGGCTCCCTATCACTCTGTCGCGGCAGAAGGATGAAAGAGCCATCACCCTGTCACCCTTAGTGCGGGAGTGAAGTGCCCCTGCCCTTGCGCGGTAACAGCATTCCGCCTTCGTCGTGGTACATTTTTCTTCGCCCAAGATCTCTAAGGCCATGTGATCCTGTTCATCAATAAACCTTCTTTCCAAGCAACTTCTATGAATCCAGTGTCTTTCTCCCTACTTGGAACTGAATCCAGATGGATATTTCTTCCAACACTATCTTGATAGTTTGGAGAAAATAATGAAATTTAACCAAGTCAAGTGCAAATTTTTTAAAGAAACAAACATGAAACATACAAATATAGAACAAGGTGCAGCCAGCTTGGCAATGAGGCTTATGAAAAAGATCTTAGCATAGTAGCTGATTATAAACAATGTGGCTCAGCTGTGTGATGAGACTGTAAAAAAAGCAAATGGAATTTTGGAATGCATCTGTAGTTCTATTGTAAATCAGTGGAAGAAGTAATTCCACTTTATTCTTCATTTGTGAGATCTTACCTTGAGTTTATTTCAGTTCTGGGTCTATGCTATTTAGAAAACCTGGAACAGGTTCAGAGAAAAGCAAAGAATGAGGATCTAGAAGATAAGCATTAAGAAGAATAAAAGAACTCAGCATGTTCAGGCTTGAAACCTAAATACTGAGAGGAATATGATAACACTTCAAACTGAAATATTATCACACAACACTCATTAAATGATAGAATAAACTAAGGAAGAGTTTGGCAATGGAACCAATTATTTAAAAAAGTGGGATGTTTCCTTTTGTCAGGTATGTTCAAGTAGAGGCTTGACAGCCACAGATGTTTCAAATTAAATTTCTGAACTGAGCAGTGTATTGGGTTTGCTGGCTAGAGAATTCTGGGAATTGAAGTCCAGACACATTAAAGTTGCTAAAGATAAAAACACTGGTTTAAACATTGTTTCCATTCTTATGCTTCTGTGAAAGAGAACTATTCAAATTGATAGACTTTGACCTGATAGAACAAGGATTATCTACTGAAGCACTATGTGTCACATTCTCTGTATTGAAGGGAGATTGTCCCCTTTTACTCTACTTCCCACCAACTCATTTTAAGCCACTCAGGAGATAGTATACAATTCCTTAATTAAAGAGACAGTAGGTTTTTATAATTGATCCTCCAGGCACTTATTTGGTCCCTTTAGAATCATCAAATTGGCTACAATGGCCACAACTCCTGACAGCAAATTCCATAATTTAGGAGAAAAAAATGAATATCCTGCATGACCTCTATCATTTCATCCTTTATCCTCACTCCAAGCTAAAAAGCTCCTGTTACTGCAATCTTTCTTTGTATTGGAATTGCTCCTATACAGTGGTAATTTTGACTGCCCTTTTGCATATTTCAAGCTTTATAATATCGTTTTAAGATGTAATGCACTCTAATATTTTCATATAACTATGTATCTCATTTCTGATCCATTATTGCTACCAAAGCAGAAGTTTGATACTTATATGCATGTTATACATGTTTATAATTAATTGCATTTGCCATTTTGAAATACATTCACCCACTATGGAACATTCTCAATCTTTTTTGAGTTTACTGTCTGACCAGTTTTGTGTCATACACAAACATGACTACCCCTTCATTCCAGATAATTTTAAATAAATAAAATTTTAAATAAAATTTAAATAAAAAGCACTAGTGATCCTTGGGGGAAGTGGTACTTTCACACAGTCCATTTATTGCTCTTTCCTGGTTTTTAATTATTTCCAATGAGTTAGGTCTGGTATCTTTGATTTTCTTGAAGTCTAAGTAAATTTAATGGTTCACTAATGTGCTTGTTGCACAAACTTCTGTAGGAAGCTGTTATGAATTCACTAATTTTTCCAACCATTCCCCCAAAATGTTCAGCTGCTCTATGGTTTCCTTTACTGCCCCTCAATCCCCTTTAAAAATTTTTTAACTGGGTTAAATCCCAGTCCTTAGTACGGATGCTGATATTAAAAACAAGTTAGCATTTTAATGAAAAGAACAGTCATTTTGTTTTTCTGGCGAAGATCTCGGGATCCCCGAGGATCCTCTCATTTTTGTTTTGTGGCTTAATCATGTCATCTTTGGCCTATTCTAGCAGGTGCCGCGTCTACAAACGTGCACAACCATTCTGATTTAATTCTGGACACCCAAAGGAGGCAAGGCAACTTTGACAGGCTGCACTTCAGGCGGCTTGCAGCGTGTATCATTACCTACCTGGTCGAAGAGCACAGCAAATGCCCCACCGCGCCCAAGCCCCGGGCCTGAGCGACAAGTATCTGCTGAAGCCGAGAGCTTGGAAGGACGGTTGTTTTTTAAATCTCCGAGAAACTCCTTTCTTTCTCTCGGGATTGGAACGGCCGCTCCGAAATGCAGCCAATCACCTAGCCTCCCCCGCCCCCTGAGAGGCGAGGTGACAGCCGTTCCAGCCTATAAGAGAAGCGCGGACGCCAGTTTAGATTCAAATGTTCTATAAAGTGCCAACTCCTCCCACGCGCCCGAGTATTCCCTAAGGTTCGCGTTCTCCGGAAGGTGAGGCTAACAAGGCCGATGGCGAATCAGTCCCAGTGCCTGGACGATGCCCCTTTCCGGAGTTTACGCGGCTGGGAGCCCGTTCCCCCTTCGACCTATAACGAGGCGCAGCGCCTGGCGCTGGAGGAGCTTATCGCCAAAGGCCGGCCGGCTTTCCAGGCTTTCTTACGCCGGGAAAAAATGGGCTCTTTCCTTTCCGATCCCGAGATCCAGGCTGTTTTGCGCTCCGCCGTGCAGCCACTCGGGACAAACGAAAGTGTCTCGGCTACAGGCCAAGCCCTGAACACCTCCTTGGATTGCTCCTCGCTCACATACTTCCCGGTGCAGTCCGATGTTGAACCACCTGTCCTAGAACTGGGCTGGCCTGCCTTTGTTACCGGCTCTTTCCGTGGACTGACCCGCGTGGAGACTTATTTCCAACCCTGTTTTGGAGAGATCATCTATGCTTGCAAAGAGGCGGTGCGCAAGCAGATCCGGTCAGCCAGAGAAGTGAGTGAAGGGATCGAGTGTTCCTTTGGCTTGGCAGGAGCTGCGCTTCGTGGTGATTCGGCCAGGGTGGAACAGCCGTGGTGTCAAGTAGGGCAACGTTGCACGCAGATCAGGCTGAACTCTCGTTTTTAGAGTCCGTTCCCGCAGCCACAAATCTACAGTTCTCTCATCCTTCTTTGCTATGCTATAACCACCCGCAAATTACTGCTCCGTGGTTTGACGCGTGTCTCCTAGGACTCGCCTTAATGTGTGGTTGGAAGTGCAGTGTGTGTTACCTTTTATTAGTCGATGATTTGTGGTTGTCGAAAAAGCCTCCCAAGTTTGGAAGTCGGGTGTGGGAAAAGAACTAAAAGGTTACTTCCACCACGAGCTACTAATTTGTTGGGTTATATTGTAATGCTTTTTCAAGGAAGTGCATGTTGGGGGATGCTTCTTTGTAGAAGCAGTGCAGAATTGTTGTGCTTCGTATGAAAGGCGAAAGTCAAATGACATAATAAAAGGTCAGTTTAATGCAGTGCAGGACAGCTGTGGGACTGCTAGGTCAGTGGTACACTTTCTTAGATCTTACAGTCCCTATGTCTGTTTATAAGTCATATACATGCATTAATATGTAGATAATCAACATTCCAATTTTTTTAAAAATGATGTAATGGATAGATGGCAATGTTCTAATTTTTTATTCCTCCATTCCAGTAAATTGCCTTACTCACTTGGAGACCAGTGCTCTATTGTTGCTAAGCTTTTTCCCAACAGCCTCATCTGGTTTCAGTGTACAGGGAATTGTGTTCAGTAGCACCAGAAGCTCACAGATTTCTTATCTCTTAAAGAGGAATCCTTGATGCCTGTGACTCCCCAGTGTAACTGGGATTTGTTTGACTTATTTTGGGAGTAGGAAGTAGGTATGGTGAGAGGTTCTCTGTCAAATGTGGTTATGCTTGCATTTATTCTTTTTTGTATTACAGTTGCTGTTAATGTAAACAAGGAATTGAGCAGAAATCTTCAGTTGGTATATGGATTGTGGAAGCAAAGGCAATTCTTGAGGAATGGAAATAAGCTGTTAACCAGCCAGTCACTTGAAGTTGCTCTTTTATCTAACTTAAGAAAATAAATTCCTTGCCTTTTCAGTCTAAGGCTATCCAGTTAATTCCAATTTCAGTGGAGTTTACAATTTAGGAGCTGGAAAGATCTGATTTGTTACTGCACCAAATGATGCATTCATTACACTCTCTGTGGGCTTTCTGTATCCTTCATCTGGTTTCCGTTGGCAGCTAAAGCTCTTAGTTAACCTGTTTCCAAAATCCTTCAGTTTAGTGATCTGTTTCATGCATTTCTTCTTTCTGGTAATCTAGCACCATTCAACTCACCTTAGCCACAGTCAGCATGGCCAAAGGCAGGGACTAGAAATGTTTATAGTCTTCAGCTTATGACCACAATTGAGTCCCAAATTTTTGTTGCTAAGTGAGACAGTTAAGTGAATTTTGCCCATTTTATGACCTTTCTTGCCACAGTCATTAAGTGTATCTGCCGTTCCTATTGACTTTGCTTGTCAGAAGGTTGCAAAAGGTGATCACATGACCCCAGACATTGCAATTATCATAAATATGAGTCAGTTGCCAAGCATCTCAATTTTTATGACCATGGGGATGCTGCAACAGTTGTAAGTGTGAAAAACGTCATAAGTCACTTTTTTTGTGCTGTTGTAACTTCATAAGTTATAGTCAGTGTGTCACTAATCAAACTGTTACAAGTAGAGAACTACCTATAATTGAAATTATTACTTGGTCACCAAATTATTGATTCCTACTTTGTATCTATTATGGATAATTATGTCAGTATAAAAAAAGCCTACACTTAAGATTTTCATAACTGACCACCCCATACCAATAAGTAAACTGAAAAATCACAGCTGTTAAAAAGTGTCCTTTGCAAAGAAGGCAAAGTTATTGTTTACTCATTGAAATGCATTACATGATTCTGGTTGATGCTTCTAAAATAAGAAGCAGGATGGCCTCCATCACATCATAATGCTATATTTGGCATGGGAGGAGTTTATGAGTTAATTCTAAAATATTGGGTGGCAGTCCTAGCTAAAAATATTGAAGCAGGGGTACCTATAGTCTTTGGAACCAATAATAAACAATGCTGTTCTTGTGATGGGTATATTTTCATGACTAATGACACTATAAACATGTGAAACCATTAGTTTCTGGAGTGTTTCGTTTCCTGTCCTGCATGCTTGTGTTGTGAACCATAGTGTTATAATCAGTAGGAAGAAGGAAATTCACATTACACAGCCTCAGTGACACAGAAATAGGAAAGGCATATTGATTAAATGAGTACCTATTTTCTTTCTTGGCTGTGATGTAAGCAAGGCTGATAAACCAAATTTCAAGATAGCAGATGACAAATGATGTGTGTTTCAAAAGCCATTTATTTAATGAAATATATTTGACAGTGGCAATATTAATAGCATATTGTTTTGATTTTATTTCTCAATGTCTTTATATCAGTTTTTTCATCAAATACCATTTGCCTATTGCCATATAATTTTAATTTATATCTTTCTAGGAATACAATAAATTACTTTGTACCATGCCAGATTATTTAGCTTGTCTAGTTAGGTAATTCTTGACAGATGACTGGATAATTGTGCTGTTTCAATGGAATCCTCTCCCTCAAAAGCTACTTATCACCTGATTTCAAAGTTCTGATATTGCCCTTCCCTGCCCCCCCACCCCCTCCGTGGTCATGTAACCACATTTTGGGCACTTAGCAACCAGCTTTCATTTTCAGCTCTTTGTGGCACCCCACAGTCATGATCACAATTTACAATGGCATTTACTTCCAGTTTCTGGCAAAACAGGCTATATGAACACTGGTTTGCTTATCGACTAACACATTCACTTAATGATCACCACAAAAAAGACTATAATATCAGGTCAGTCATGTGATGACCTGTTTTACAACTATCACAACTTATAATTATAATTCTTAGATTCAATTACAGTTATAAGTCAAGGACTACCTGTAGTTTGATTTGACATTGTGTTAAGACATAATGTGTTTTGGGGGTCATATAATGCATTGATTTGTGAACTACAATGATAAGGTTCATAGAAGACAGAAAGCCAAAATTAGTTAATTTAGTAAACAATGGTATCTAAATGTATGCATATATGAATGAATATATGCAAAATGCATATATAGCATTTTTTCTAAAATATGAAACAGCCTTGAAATATTTTGTAATTTTAACCTTTGCTTCAAATAAACCAGGATGCTTTACTGTAATTACCTAGCTATAGCTTTTGGGCATAGTTTTTTCCATTATCTTTGTCAATGGGGTGAGCATAGTAAATAGTGTCTTACAAAACTACATGGGCCATCACTGACATAAGAGTAAAGCTGTTGGGTTCAAGATAGGAAGAGGAAATAAAAACTTTATTTTTTAAATTTGTATATCACCTGTGATTTGGCAGCATATGATGGCAAGAATAAGGAATTGCATGAATCCAGAAGCATGTTTTGATAGAAGCAAACCCCCTCCTCAATATTTATTAAAGAATTAGCAGAAAACTTGTTTCTGGATTTATAGTACAAATTATCACAAACCCATTTGTTGTGTTTGATTTCTTGTCTGTCCACTTCACATAGCAGCCGTAATTTCTGCTATGCTTGCCAATGGGTGGAGATAACCAGGATGCGAATATTTCACTCAGCTGTTTTCTAGTATTTCTGGTTGTTGGTAGTATGACACCGTCAAAGGCTGATCACCTTAGTATCATTTTGTGATACTAATACAGCTACAGATTTTGAGATTTGTAGTTCTATTCAGAAAAAAGTGCACTGTTTACAAGCTCATGTGAGTGTTCTCCATATGGTGAGATGATACTAGATTTTTCAAATGTGATATAGCCTGTAATTAAAGTTCTAAATTAAAATTCCCATCATTTCTAAACAAGTAATTATGCTAAGCAGAAAAGACGCAATTGCAATTCCAATATGTTTTGTTTAGAAGGTACAATTTAGTCGACATTGTAAAGAGAGATACTGATGGAAGTGAGACATCATGAAATAATCTAAGGCTTCCTCTGAAAATGTCTTGACTAATTTGATTAATTATTCTATCAAAACATAGCACTGATGATGATTTGATTCTACAGTTTCCAACTTGATACACTCAAGTTTGTATACTCTAGCTCTTATAATCCCCAATCCATAGTGTTTAAAATCATGGGATTATATCCTGAAATATTAGATGGATATCGGTTTAGAAAAGGCTTTATGTACCATCCAAACTTAATGAGGCCTGTTCTCTGGCTGCTGTTTTTTTAGTATCCAGATTAGGTAGAGACAAACGGAATAGAAAACCTAGGGCAGGGACTGGACTGTTGTATCCTATGGGACAGGACTGGTTGACTGGTTAGGGCTTGAAAAGTGTACTTTATTATATATAGTGAATTTCTGATCACCAAAAACTAAGAGTAAACCACCTAGGGGCACCTATAGCTAGCCACGATAATGACAAAATATTCATTTTGATATCACAGTGCAAACTATGCCCTTTCATATCAATATTGTGACATTGCATACAACTTCTTCAGAGTGAGATTTTCTCCTGAGAGCCGTTCGGATCATCCAGAGAGTGGGAGGTGCTCCAGTCTGCGTCGTTGAAGGCTGAGCTTAATTACTGAGGAACGCTCCATCACGTGGCTCCCTTGCGTTCCCCAGTTTTGCGCTCAGCCTTCATGAGATTAGGCTGTGTAGTTCACCACTCCTGGCCGATTCAAGCAATTAGCTCTCAGGTTTGAATTTCTAGATCCTAAAAGGGATAATCTTTTCCTTCCTTAGCCTCTAGCGCATTAGATAAGGGATACAAGGGGAGCGCGTTTTTTCCGCCCCCAGGGGGGTTGAAGAACGGGCGGCTTTCGCGCTTCGGCGCCAATCCCCCCCCCCATTCGGTCGTTTCCCTGCCGTTCTTCTCGCCGCGATCGCAGCGG